TTAACTGTATTGAAATGACTATTTGCCATGAAGTGTATTGGTTCATGTTGATATGTTTCATAGGAAATAACAAGATAATAAGTATAGATACATTAAGTTATTAAAAGATTTATAAATATGCTCAATTATGTTTTTAAATTATGTTCCTTTGAATTTAAAAACCTTAAATGGCATATTATCTAGCATGTATAAATTTATACATGCTAGATAATATACATAAAAGAATAAGAATCAAATAAACAATCAAAACCGTCACATATAGCTTATATTTTTATTTTTTGTATAGTATATGTCTAACTAAATGAACTTGTCCATTTGATCAATACAATTTACGTTAGATTATCCATTATCATAAATATAAATTCCTCTTTTAGTCAAAACTGCCAAAACTGTTGAATCACCACAAAACCCCACAACAGCTTCTTTAAAAGCATAGGAATATACCATTTGAAACGTATTCAAATCTAAAACTTTAATTGCATTTCTAAAATCATCACAAACCATTATATAGCCGTTGAAAACTTTGTCATTGTGTTTAAATAGCTGTTTTACTTCAGGATCAAATACAATGTGTTTTTTGCCTAGCAAAATTCCACTTACAGTGTATTCAGCATTTCTAAAAACTGCCAATACGTTTCTCCCATCCGATGTAACTCCACTACAGATACCAGGAGTATCAGATTCTAATTTCTTAAATGATATTTGTTCATAGGAACTTCCTCCATGAATATAAAGGCCAAAAACGGATGCAACACAAAGAATATCTTCAGCACTAGCAATACTATGAATATTTTCGTTGCAAACTTTAGCCTTTTTTATTTTACCACTGGTCAAATTACAAATATAAAGCCATCCAATCATATCAGCAACAAAGATTAAGTCTCGATCTAAACTTGAAAAACAGATAGCCGAAACATTAGTATCAAAACTCAAAGATTTTATGGTATTTTCAGTATAAATGTTTAAAAGTGAAACACACCTACTATATGCAACCAGACAAAGACCATCATTAAATGGGCTTAGTTTAAAATCTCTCACGGCATCTCCAAATTTGATAAACGAATTTATCGAAAAATTTGAAAGAGAATATTTAAACAGTCCAAAATCACCATTTTTACGGCAAGAAATGATTACAGCCTGATTTATAGCATCAAATTCAACAAAGCTATCATCGGGGAAAAAGTGAATCTTGCAATATTTGACAAAGCGCATATGAATTTTAGAGCCCACAGGTTTTGTTGCAGTTAAATTTTGTTTAAAAGACGATTTTAGTATTTCAATATGTGATTTTAACTTTGAAACTTCTATTTCCAAAGCTTTTCTTATTTCATTTTCTTTTATATATTTATCTATGATTTGCTTTTCTTTCTCAGTATCAGTCGCTTCCACTTTTGCTGCAAAGATTGGTCTAAGATGAGTTTTTCTACAAGGAGCCGAGCATGTTGGACAATAGTTTCTTTTATATACATTCAACCATTTTTCGATACACTCTGCTCCAAATAAATGGCCACATTTTAATGAAATCACTCGATGCCCACCAGTCAAAGTGTATTCAGCAAAACAAATAAGACAGTACACTCCTCCATCCATGGGTTAAATCAGTAAGACATTAAAATCAAAGCACTCAATATAATATAATTAAGTGCAATAAATAATTTAAATGATAAAATTTCAACGTCTATGTTTAACTAGCATAACATTTTAAAATTAAAAATTTTATATTCCATTGGATGAATCTACCTGATGAAATTGCATATATAACTTTCTTGGAAACCAGGTAATATACAAATCATGCTAGCATAGCGTATTAAAAGATAGCTATTTTACTGTCTTCCCAACTGGATTGTTTCTGACGTAACCACAATCATTCACATCAACAGTGTGTTTTGTAGACCTATTCTCCCACCCTCATAAATGGAAAGTAAACGATTTATAATCCGACAAATCATTGGAGAAGGAGCATCAAGCACGGTTTATAGAGCTTTTGATACAGTGAACAACACACATGTTGCAATCAAGGTCTTTTCAAATAGAAAAAAGCGTAATAGAGAATCACAAAGAAATTAGACAAGAGTACAGAATACTAAAAGCATTAGAAAACTGCAACAATGAACATCTTACCCAATTTTACGGATGTATTACAGAAAATACTTATGTTTTTGAACTATGTGAATACAATCTTATTTCATTTATCAACGAACACGATCTTGATTTGAAAGGGATTAAGAAAATCATGAGAATGATTCTCCTCGGAATACATGAAATACATAGAAATGGAATAATTCACAGAGATATAAAACTTGGAAACATACTTGTCAAAGATGACTGTGTCAAGCTATGTGATTTTGGTCTTTCTTGTTTTATTAATGCGAATGATTTTAGCTATTGTGGAACAAAGGATTATCTTGCACCTGAAATGGAAGCTATATCCAGAAAGGAAAATACAGAAATGGCGCAGAATATAAAATTTAAGATTAATAATTGTAAATATGACGAAAAAATAGACGTATACGCTGCAGGCATTATCTATAAGACATTATTGACACGTAAAAAGGAAAGCGATTTAGAAAATATAACTGTTGATACAAACATCAAAGCTTTAATATTAAGCATGACCAATCCAGACCCATTAAAAAGATATTCTGCACAGCAGTCCCTGTTTCATTCCAGCTTTGATGATCTTTTCTATGAAATTCCTGATTTTTCGGACCTAAAAAATTTATCAAAAATTACTAAATATGGAAAAATATCTAGAATTTCCGATAAAACTCACAATTACATTCAAATAGAGTATATTTATGAAAACAAACCAAGAATATTAAGGATTGAATGCATTAGTCCAAAAAATTTAATTTTTCAGGATAGAATATGCTTTGAGTATAAAATCAAAGTAAATGAACTTGAAATTGACAAAAGACTATTAAGTAATAGCATGATAAAACACTTCAATTATCTGTGTAGCTATTTCAAAATAGTATGTGAAAAAACAATAAAGTACAAAGATACGGACGGACACTTTACTTTCTTCGTAACAATATGTAACACCAAACACCTGGAATGTGATGATTTTAAAATTAAAAAGTATAAAGATAACAGATGTGAAATGACAGCTGGGGATCATCAAGAAAGTATAAAGTTTGATCGTATTCCGATCAAAGCAAGACAGGTATTTGAGAAATTTGAGAAAAAATATCAAACTGTCAACAGTTTTCACATTGAACAGCAGTCTAGCATGAAGATATCGTTGAATACTGATCAACTGATAAAAAAGTACGAATTTATTGAAAGACAGGGATGGGCATTGAAAAATGGGTTAAGGTTTATACTTTTATTGAATTGTGGTAAAAAATACACGATAGATGTTGAAGAACAAACCATTTCTGAAAATGAGGGAGTTAAAATGGACATAACAGAAATGTCCGTTCAACTATTAAGTTTGATTCGACAGTTCATAATAAAGTTTATATAAAAGTGTTAAATATTAATTTCTATTCATTGCCTAATTATAGAAGAGCAAACATAAAATACACATAGCTATAGATAGATGATAACACAAAGACATTTAGCTAATAAAAGATAATTGTTTTGTAAAATAGTATTTTTAATAAATAGTTGAAATTGATACCACTTATGGAAAGGTAAAAACAGAATTTAAGATAAAAACAAAGGCTCTTACGGGAGTCGAACCCGTGATCTTCTGATTACGAAACAGACGTTCTACCACTAAACTAAAGAGCCTTTAGAAGGCTAATATTTGAATTTATAAAGTTGAAAATTGATTAATACAAGTTAAACAACTATTATCTACTCTTTAACGACCAGCATTATCTATTTATATTATCAATGTGCAATGTTGAATAATTACACATTTTTATTTCAGTTTATTGTTGAATTCTTTTAATACTATTGGCTTCTTTTTAAATTGTGCACAACACTTCTATTACTTTTTTATTGATTAGAATTTTTGCAATGGGCATTAAATTCTTATATGTTGTATTTGCTTTAAATATAGTATATGACACTGAAGGGCTGTGCATTATATTTGATGTATAAATATTTTAATATAGTATATTCTTATACAAAACTTCTTATTCATTAAACAACACAATATCTTTTCTTCTTGTTTTTCAAAAGTTTTTACCCCATGGGTTCGAGGGAAAATGCTAGGAAACAGCCTTCAACATTATCGGATAGAAAGCTACTAGATCCATTTGCAGAGCTCTTCACGGGCACAATTTCCAAGGGTCAGATTGTCAAGGAGGACACTGTAAGTCTTGGGAAAAGCATGGATGATATTCTATTTAGTAAAATCGATCCACTTGATTTGTCTTTTGGAAAAAATACCTCAAAGGCAAGTAAAGGATCAATTGTGTTTGATGAGGACAGCAATGCAAAAGGTACGAAAGGATGTAGCTTACGAGATGATCCAATTTTGAGTTCTTTTTTATCACCGAAGAATACGGAAAAGGTAAAAGAGTCAACATCCCTGTTTAATTCAATTTCTAAGAACAATGCAACATCTAACAACCAGTCTGATAAACTAGGACAAGAATTATTGTCCTTGTTGTCCACCCGGACAAATACACAGTCTAAGGATATTAAACCAACAAAACCACCAGCAAAGAATCGAAATTCTAAAAATACAAGCAGTTCAAATCGTGATATTGGACTTGAAATATTTGAGTCATTTATTTGCAACAATGGGGCTCTCATGGATACACCAAAGTCACCTTACAGTGAGTCTATTTTATCAAATAGTCACAGGAATGCCAAAAATAAAGTAAATAAGATTAAAAAGAGCGAAGATTTGGCAAAAACAACAAATTTGAAGGACGAAAACATAAAAAATTCTAATTTTTCAGTCGAGAATTGCTTTAATGTGGATCCACCCATAAATACAGAATCCTCAAGTGATCATACCAATCTTAAAGATAACCGTACTGACATAGCTGCACCTGTAAATACAAAATTCGAGAATAGCCAGATTACACCATGCTCAAATATAACCTTTAGGCCTATAGAGAATCATAACAACTCTAGAAACAACCATACTAGCATGAATATGCCTCCAGTTACAAAGCCTATTAACGTCGAAAACATACCAATGAACATATCAAATGGATTTGCAGCTAAAAATAGGTATCAACAAGCGATGAATCCTTTTGAGTCTCTTTATAATGTAAATTATTCTGGAACACCGCAAAATTGTTTTAAGCCAGTGCATTTACAGCAGCCTTACTCTCCAAGGATTAATACACACATTAACAACAATTTTTATCCAGAGCATCCATCTCAGCATCCATATGGTCTTGTACCAAACTTCACTAATACTGGCTATTGTCCTGAGAGTAGGAGACAAAGAATACCATATAAAGTTAAACAAGAACCTCACAACTTGTACTTTAAAGGCGATTTGCAACAACCGTTTCCTATCAGGCAGAATATTCAACAGAGACCACATCCAATTAAGCATAATGTACAGCAATGGTATCCTGTTAGACAAGATTTTCATCAATATCCATATCTTAGATATGATTCACATCAGCCTTATAGTAATGCAAGATCACCGCATCAGATGAACAATATGCAATTTATTAAGCATAGCTCCAATGTATTTTTAAACAAACCAATTAATTGTGTTGCCCCATTTAATCGGGATATAGTTCATAGGTTTAATGCTGTAAGATTAGCTGATAAAGGAAGCCATCTGACTCTTAGAATAAAGCTATTTAGTTTAAGGCTCATGGATGAGGACAAGAGAATGCTCATTGACAAGCTATCCTTAACAGTGGATAATCTGAAATATAGATTTTTCAGAACCTTGAATGAAGTAGCAGATATTCTTGAATTGCCGAAGCTATCATATCATGACGCACACGAGCTTAGAATACTATTTAACTTGTTTTCCAAATGTGGGGGTTACCTTAATGCCAATGCCCACTTTTTGAACTATGTCAAAAATATTACAAAGAAATACTTTTTCAAATATCTTTCATATGTTCTTCCACTTGAAACTAGCGGATATTTTTATAAACCTAAGATCAAGCTTAATACCAAGAGAAAAGTATTCAAGCCTACAAAAGAGGAACTGAATTCTGTACTATGCATTGGAATATATGATGATATATTTTATTTTTTAGATTTGTTAGAACAGGGCGAAATATCTGGAGCACTAATGGGTGAGCTGCTAAACATGTTTTTTCTAGTTTCTGACCATCTTTTTAAGAGTTCTGGCTGTACACTACCTCTTCTTGACAAGATAGTAGGTAGATTGAATGGGAAACCGTATAAAGTAGTATTAGACAGAATGTCTAGAGATATTCTCTATCAGCTACAAGAGCAAATATTCAGGATCATATTAAAATATGAAAAAAACAAGAAGTCAGATCAAAGCTTTAACGATGACACACTATTCTGTATAATTGAGCTTATTTTGCAGAGAAAAATGCTTAAAAAATTATCTAATATTGCTGATTTAGATACTGAAGACTATAGAATGAAGCCTTCTTCTAAAGATTTAAGCCATAAATATGAAAATGAATATTTATGGACGCTGATGCTCATCGATGCTGTAAATAGTGTAATTAGACCCACGCCTAGAATACTCGATATACTTTTTGAGTTTGACGGTGCCGATCCAAGCTTGATCCTTAGAGTTTCTTCTAAATTCTTGCTTGATAGTCAAACAGTACAGCGAATATTTTTGAAACACGAGGCATATATAATAGCAATGCTTGAGAAACACATGAAAACTCTCGAAAACATGATTCTTTTAAATGATGAGAAAGAACTGGAGATAATAATAACCTATTTCTTGCCATTTTTATTTGTTGAAAGCCTACCATTAATGTCTATTCTCAACACTGTTGTCAAGTATAAAGAATATCTATTAGAAAAGAAAGTATATTTCAGAAAGAGAAGAAGTAGTAACATAGATACAATAATAAAGTGCTTGAAGGGTAGACTTTCTGGAGGCTGATGTAGATGTGAGTAAATGTGTAAATTTTATACTTTTATTTGTCATATAAAAATCATTTATGTCTTATTAAGCATAACATAGTATCATTATAGCCATTCATTGATATCAATATTATACCATAACATGGAGGCTTATTTTAACTAAATGAAGAAATAGGTACAACACATCAATCTATACAGATACAATAAAAATCGACAGCGACCAGATTTGAACTGATGCGGGATAAACCCAGTTGGTTTCGAATCAACCGCCTTAACCACTCGGCCACGCTGTCTTAAAATGTGGTTTTTAAGATATTTGATGCATTAATATGTCAATATCAATATCCATCAAATTAAAACAGGTCTAATTTAATAAACAGTGATAAATTTGACATTTTTAATAACGAAATGCACATTACAATAAAAATTTAAGTAATATTCATTAATTAGTGCATTGCTGGAAGAATATCATCTATCTTTGCAAGCATCTGAACAGTCTCGATCGCAAGCGTTATCATACTTTTAGACACGGCAGCAGGCTGCACCACATCATCATCATTTACCATATCTGCAATAAATTCTGTTCTAAGACTGATTCCCAAATGCCTGTTAATTCCAATATTCTTCTTCAAATTCGAGATTATTTCTGTTGAATAAAGGCCTGCGTTATGAGCCAGTAAATGAGGCATTCCAAGAAATCCAGATGCAATTTCCTTAATGAGAAGGCTATGAGGCCCTGTATATTGATCAAGAAGATTAGAAATGCCAGTTTCAATTGCACCACCGCCTGCAACAATATATGGTTCATCCTTTAAACACTTAACCACACAAAGAGCATCATTGAGGGACCTTTCAGCTTCATCTAACACTAAATTGTCACATCCACTAACAAAAATCGTATACCCAACATTCTTAAAACATACCATGTTGTGGATCTTCTCAATTTCAACGTCAATGGGCACACCGAGTAAATCTATATCTGTGACAGGTGCAATTCCCAAGAATTTGCTAATATACTCGACATCTTTCCTATCAACATTATTGATAACTGAAATACCAATTTTGTTTAAAAAGTAAAGAGCAAGATCGGAACAAGATTCTCTCACAATGTTTTTCTGTATAATTAATAAGGTTGCACCTGTATTTTTGATCCTTTTAATAATGTTCAACACATACTCTCTCTCCTCTCTGACAAATTTCTCCATAAGTGAATAGTCGTTAATAATAATTTTCGAGTCAAGATTGGTTCTGGGTGCTGAAATACAAAACTGAAGGATCAGAGCCTTGGCCGCACCACTCTTAACTTCAACGTTTTTATCGATAAGAACACCATTGATAAGCTCAATATCGTCAATACTTCCACCTGCCTTTTTAATAATTTGGATATCCTCCTTTTTAGCAAACTCAAGAGCATCTACAGCAACCTGTGCCATTTTTAAAGATTTCGCTGCAATTTTAGAGCTCAATGTAGTCAAAACAACAGCTAAAAACTCATTTTGGTCAATTTTAACCTTAGACTCATCAATGTACTTCATTGCCAATTTCTTTACAATTTCCTAAGGCATTTACTATTTTTGAAGGATGAATCTGTGCATCCTTCATCTTCTTTACTTGCTCCATGAGACAGCCTATTAGAAGTACTACAGATGTGGTTCCATCACCACAGTTTGTATCCTGTGTTATACTCACGTTACTGAGTATTTTATGGATAGGATGAGTTTTATAAAAACCCATTATGGTTGCACCATCGTTAGTAATGACAGTGTTCTTTCCTTGAATTAACATTTTATCCATTCCTTTTGGTCCATATGAAGAAGAAAGTGTCAGAAATAAACTGTGCACTGCTTGATCGATAGTTTCTGAAACTTTACTTGATCGTTCGTTCATCTTTGGGTGCAAAATTTTAGCTAGAGTGGATTAAAAT